TTATTATAAACACTTGCAATCAAATGGTTATGATCATATGAAAAACGTCAAAAAAGTTGCAAGAGAATTAAAATCAAGTCAACAGCAGCAACAACCATCAACACCTATTACATTAACACCTTCATGTCGGTCACAGACACCATTAATAGGAGTTGCTGTTGTTTCACCAACTAACACACAAACAACAGCTCAAGTTGATTCTTCAGCATTCCCAAATCAAGCTGCACATAATGGCAGTAAACGTCGTTTAATATCACAATCACAACAATATCGTTCGACAAAAAGAAGCCGTATATAAATATTCATCTCTTTCTGTTTTAGCGCATTTTAATTTACACTTGATCTTCTATTTTACGCGTTTTTATCTTCTTTAAAATAAACTATGGAAATACCTATATAATGCTATAATTTGGACTGTTTTTTCTCATATATATTGAATGATTTATATTATGTTATTGATTGCCAAAAACAAAATAACCATTAACTATTATCCAAATTATGTGCTTACAGTTATATTGAGAAATTTTAAATGTTTAAGTACGTCAAAGTATTGAAAGTACTTGAAGTAGTTCAAAGTAGCTGAAAGTAGCCTAAAGTAGTTTAAAGTAGCTTAAAGTACTTGAAAGTTTGTGTGAAGTAGCCCAAAATTCGCTTAAAGCACTTTAAATTACCTCGAAGTACTTTAAAGTAGCGTAAAGTACTTGAAGAACAAAAGTCTGCTGTTTCCCCCTTGCTTTAAGGCCATCATAGGCGTAATGGAAACAGTCGCTCTAACTGCCCTGTAGTGTCAAACTTGGCACTTCTATTCAATTATTGAAATATTGTTTCAACTGTTCAACTGTTCAACTATTCAATACCTGAAATTCAAGTATTTAACTCTTCAATTGTTCAATACTTGAAATTCCGGCATTCAAGTATTCAATTATTGAATGGCAGAAGCTGAATCACTCAAGCATTCAAGTATTCAGTAGCTGCCATGAACATGTCCTGCTTTGGTTACTGTGTAAACAGAAAGGTACACGGATCGTGGCTCATCGGCGGCGCTGCGTTTCCGGAGACCACGGCGCTAATATAAAATAAGTGATAGGCAGACAAAAGCGCGTACATCCTTCAGTGAATATTCAAGTCTTGATTAGTTGAATACTGGATGTTCAATTATTTAACTATCGAATACTTCAATACTTCAACTAGCCCTCAGATGAATAATGGAATATATGAATAGTTGAATACTTGAAGTTCAACTATTCGATTAGCGAATATTTGAAGAGTTGAATAGGTGAAATGTCAAGTATTCAACTATTGAAAGATGCGTTAATCGAGTACTTGAAA